TTTAAAATGTCCATAACTCCTTAAATATTGAGTTTTTTAAGTGTGAATTAATGAGAACTTTAAAATGGCCATAACTCCTTAAATATTGAGTTTACAGCGTTTTTAGCTATTATTTGTGATCACTTTTTTAAGTGTGAATTAATGAGAACTTTAAAGTGGCCATAACTCCTTAAATATTGGGTTTACAGCGTTTTTAGTTATTATTTGTGATCACTTTTTTAAGTGTGAATTAATGAGAATTTTAAAATGGCCATAACTCCTTAAATATTGAGTTTACAGCGTTTTTAGCTATTATTTGTGATCACTTTTTTAAGTGTGAATTAATGAGAATTTTAAAATGGCCATAACTCCTTAAATATTGAGTTTACAGCGTTTTTAGCTATTATTTGTGATCACTTTTTTAAGTGTGAATTAATGAGAACTTTAAAATGGCCATAACTCCTTAAATATTGAGTTTTTTAAGTGTGAATTAATGAGAATTTTAAAATGGCCATAACTCCTTAAATATTGAGTTTACAGCGTTTTTAGCTATTATTTGTGATCACTTTTTTAAGTGTGAATTAATGAGAACTTTAAAATGGCCATAACTCCTTAAATATTGAGTTTACAGCGTTTTTAGCTATTATTTGTGATCACTTTTTTAAGTGTGAATTAATGAGAATTTTAAAATGGCCATAACTCCTTAAATATTGAGTTTACAGCGTTTTTAGCTATTATTTGTGATCACTTTTTTAAGTGTGAATTAATGAGAACTTTAAAATGGCCATAACTCCTTAAATATTGAGTTTACAGCGTTTTTAGCTATTATTTGTGATCACTTTTTTAAGTGTGAATTAATGAGAATTTTACAATGGCCATAACTCCTTAAATATTGAGTTTACAGCGTTTTTAGCTATTATTTGTGATCACTCTTTTAAGTGTGAATTAATGAGAACTTTAAAATGGCCATAACTCCTTAAATATTGAGTTTACAGCGTTTTTAGCTATTATTTGTGATCACTTTTTTAAGAGTGATTTAATAAGAATTTTAAAATGGCCATAACTCCTTAAATATTGAGTTTACAGCGTTTTTAGCTATTATTTGTGATCACTTTTTTAAGTGTGAATTAATGAGAACTTTAAAATGGCCATAACTCCTTAAATATTGAGTTTACAGCGTTTTTAGCTATTATTTGTGATCACTTTTTTAAGTGTGAATTAATAAGAATTTTAAAATGGCCATAACTCCTTAAATATTGAGTTTACAGCGTTTTTAGCTATTATTTGTGATCACTTTTTTAAGTGTGAATTAATGAGAACTTTAAAATGGCCATAACTCCTTAAATATTGAGTTTACAGCGTTTTTAGCTATTATTTGTGATCACTTTTTTAAGTGTGAATTAATGAGAACTTTAAAATGGCCATAACTCCTTAAATATTGAGTTTACAGCGTTTTTAGCTATTATTTGTGATCACTTTTTTAAGTGTGAATTAATGAGAACTTTAAAATGGCCATAACTCCTTAAATATTGAGTTTACAGCGTTTTTAGCTATTATTTGTGATCACTTTTTTAAGTGTGAATTAATGAGAACTTTAAAATGGCCATAACTCCTTAAATATTGAGTTTTTTAAGTGTGAATTAATGAGAATTTTAAAATGGCCATAACTCCTTAAATATTGAGTTTACAGCGTTTTTAGCTATTATTTGTGATCACTTTTTTAAGTGTGAATTAATGAGAATTTTAAAATGGCCACAACTCCTTAAATATTGAGTTTTTTAAGTGTGAATTAATGAGAATTTTAAAATGGCCATAACTCCTTAAATATTGAGTTTACAGCGTTTTTAGCTATTATTTGTGATCACTTTTTTAAGTGTGAATTAATGAGAACTTTAAAATGGCCATAACTCCTTAAATATTGAGTTTTTTAAGTGTGAATTAATGAGAATTTTAAAATGGCCATAACTCCTTAAATATTGAGTTTACAGCGTTTTTAGCTATTATTTGTGATCACTTTTTTAAGTGTGAATTAATGAGAACTTTAAAATGGCCATAACTCCTTAAATATTGAGTTTACAGCGTTTTTAGCTATTATTTGTGATCACTTTTTTAAGTGTGAATTAATGAGAACTTTAAAATGTCCATAACTCCTTAAATATTGAGTTTTTTAAGTGTGAATTAATGAGAACTTTAAAATGGCCATAACTCCTTAAATATTGAGTTTACAGCGTTTTTAGCTATTATTTGTGATCACTTTTTAAGTGTGAATTAATGAGAACTTTAAAATGGCCATAACTCCTTAAATATTGAGTTTTTTAAGTGTGAATTAATGAGAATTTTAAAATGGCCATAACTCCTTAAATATTGAGTTTACAGCGTTTTTAGCTATTATTTGTGATCACTTTTTTAAGTGTGAATTAATGAGAACTTTAAAATGTCCATAACTCCTTAAATATTGAGTTTTTTAAGTGTGAATTAATGAGAACTTTAAAATGGCCATAACTCCTTAAATATTGAGTTTACAGCGTTTTTAGCTATTATTTGTGATCACTTTTTTAAGTGTGAATTAATGAGAACTTTAAAATGGCCATAACTCCTTAAATATTGAGTTTACAGCGTTTTTAGCTATTATTTGTGATCACTTTTTTAAGTGTGAATTAATGAGAATTTTAAAATGGCCATAACTCCTTAAATATTGAGTTTACAGCGTTTTTAGCTATTATTTGTGATCACTTTTTTAAGTGTGAATTAATGAGAATTTTAAAATGGCCATAACTCCTTAAATATTGAGTTTACAGCGTTTTTAGCTATTATTTGTGATCACTTTTTTAAGTGTGAATTAATGAGAACTTTAAAATGGCCATAACTCCTTAAATATTGAGTTTTTTAAGTGTGAATTAATGAGAATTTTAAAATGGCCATAACTCCTTAAATATTGAGTTTACAGCGTTTTTAGCTATTATTTGTGATCACTTTTTTAAGTGTGAATTAATGAGAACTTTAAAATGGCCATAACTCCTTAAATATTGAGTTTACAGCGTTTTTAGCTATTATTTGTGATCACTTTTTTAAGTGTGAATTAATGAGAATTTTAAAATGGCCATAACTCCTTAAATATTGAGTTTACAGCGTTTTTAGCTATTATTTGTGATCACTTTTTTAAGTGTGAATTAATGAGAACTTTAAAATGGCCATAACTCCTTAAATATTGAGTTTACAGCGTTTTTAGCTATTATTTGTGATCACTTTTTTAAGTGTGAATTAATGAGAATTTTAAAATGGCCATAACTCCTTAAATATTGAGTTTACAGCGTTTTTAGCTATTATTTGTGATCACTTTTTTAAGTGTGAATTAATGAGAATTTTAAAATGGCCATAACTCCTTAAATATTGAGTTTACAGCGTTTTTAGCTATTATTTGTGATCACTCTTTTAAGTGTGAATTAATGAGAACTTTAAAATGGCCATAACTCCTTAAATATTGAGTTTACAGCGTTTTTTTTAAGTGTGAATTAATGAGAATTTTAAAATGGCCATAACTCCTTAAATATTGAGTTTACAGCGTTTTTAGCTATTATTTGTGATCACTTTTTTAAGTGTGAATTAATGAGAATTTTAAAATGGCCATAACTCCTTAAATATTGAGTTTTTTAAGTGTGAATTAATGAGAATTTTAAAATGGCCATAACTCCTTAAATATTGAGTTTACAGCGTTTTTAGCTATTATTTGTGATCACTTTTTTAAGTGTGAATTAATGAGAACTTTAAAATGGCCATAACTCCTTAAATATTGAGTTTTTTAAGTGTGAATTAATGAGAATTTTAAAATGGCCATAACTCCTTAAATATTGAGTTTACAGCGTTTTTAGCTATTATTTGTGATCACTTTTTTAAGTGTGAATTAATGAGAACTTTAAAATGGCCATAACTCCTTAAATATTGAGTTTACAGCGTTTTTAGCTATTATTTGTGATCACTTTTTTAAGTGTGAATTAATGAGAATTTTAAAATGGCCATAACTCCTTAAATATTGAGTTTACAGCGTTTTTAGCTATTATTTGTGATCACTTTTTTAAGTGTGAATTAATGAGAATTTTAAAATGGCCATAACTCCTTAAATATTGAGTTTACAGCGTTTTTAGCTATTATTTGTGATCACTCTTTTAAGTGTGAATTAATGAGAACTTTAAAATGGCCATAACTCCTTAAATATTGAGTTTACAGCGTTTTTTTTAAGTGTGAATTAATGAGAATTTTAAAATGGCCATAACTCCTTAAATATTGAGTTTACAGCGTTTTTAGCTATTATTTGTGATCACTTTTTTAAGTGTGAATTAATGAGAATTTTAAAATGGCCATAACTCCTTAAATATTGAGTTTACAGCGTTTTTAGCTATTATTTGTGATCACTTTTTTAAGTGTGAATTAATGAGAACTTTAAAATGGCCATAACTCCTTAAATATTGAGTTTTTTAAGTGTGAATTAATGAGAATTTTAAAATGGCCATAACTCCTTAAATATTGAGTTTACAGCGTTTTTAGCTATTATTTGTGATCACTTTTTTAAGTGTGAATTAATGTAATGTTACGATAAATTAATGCATGTGAACTACCCTTGTATTGATCACCTGTAACTAGGCTAAGTAGATCAGCTGATTAACAGCTGTAGTTTTAAGGATTGTTATTGTTATTTTTAAGGATATATTAAGAAAACAAAATCTAGGATTAAGTACCGTTATGTTTTATATATAAGGACGATGAAATTGAAAATAAAGTTCAGAAGTTAGAAAGAGCCTAAACCGGCTTTAAAAACTTTAGTAAAATTAAAAAAATCAAAAAGCTCTTTTTATTGAGCTGGAAATCGCTGGCAACTAGTTGTGCCTTCGAAAAATTTAAAAAAACATCTTTTTCTGCCAAGTGGCGTTTGTAAGCGCCGGCAAACAAATTGAGGCAGGGCCCAATTTTCCACACACACATACATGTCTACACAAAAACATCAACAGGTTGCAGGCCAACATTACATGGCGATCCTGCCAAACACGGCATCGAGCAGCAAATCCTGCCATGACGCATTACCCCAAGGTCCTAAGAGGTTGACACTGGAGGAATATTTCAAGCGCCAACAGCAGATTAAAGAAGAAAAGCTGACTCGGATTCCCCCGACTGAAAAGCCTAAACACCGCAGAGGAGGCAGAATTGTACGCCTGCGTCGACAATTGGCAGCCCTCAAAGAAGCTGTGAATGCAGATCCTCCACCATCTTGGCAAAAAGCCACACAAATTTGGCTACAAATAGATGCTGTGGAAGCTCAAATGAGACCTAAAAATTCACAAAACACACACATTTGAAAATAAAATCACATAAATAAAAATTTTTTCCAAATTTCTTTTCATTTTATTTGATATGTAAACATTATTCCTTATTAAGAAGAAGAAGAATACAATAGATGAAACATCACAGGAATAATTCCATAAACATAAAATTTGCACAAGAAATACAAATAATGTAAAATTTTATCACAAAAATATAAATTAGAAATTTATTTCACACACATAGCACAATAAAATATTTAAATTTCTCATTTTTAATAATTTTCAAAAAAAAAAAACACAAGATCACACCACGAATTTATAAAATGTCGATCAAAACAAAATGAAATGATGATTAGTGTTAACTGATTGATAAATAATTAGTTTGAAAGTAATTGGTAACCACCATTGTAAAAACGCTACTTTTGCAACCCTGTACTCATTAGTTCAATATTAAGCGACCGTTAAATTTGAAATTTTTATTAAGGATCGTTTACACAGTTCCATTTAATTTAAGTATTAATATTAGTTGCAAAATAATATAAATGGAGATAGAAACATGCATTAATGAATTAGAAAAATTAAAATTGAATTTAAAGAAAAGTAAAAATAAGATTTTTACAAAAAAATACGTTGAAGAAAAATTAGGAAGATTAGAAGAATTGGTAAATGCGGTGAATGATTACCAATGTGAAGATGAGAATGATTATCTTTTAAAAGCGAGATTTAATGAATTGAAAATAGAAATTTCGGTTTTAATTAATGAATTGAATATAAAAGAAGAAATAATAAATAATAACGTAAATATGGCACAATTCGACATGTCAATGGTTAGCAAAAATTTGCATGTATTTAAAGGCGAATTCAAATATTTAGAAGACTTTATATCTCAAGCAGAATTGCTGCATGATTTGCTACAAGAGCAAGATAAAGAATTATTCATTAAGTACATCTATAATTTCAAGTTATCAGCCCAAGTAAGGAGTATTTTAGGTCGTTCAAACAAGCCAACGACATTTGTACAATTAAAAAAGGCACTGGAAGATGCTTATCCAAACCCAAGAACGCTACAACAGCTATTAACTGAATTAGGAACAACCAAGCAAGGGCATTTAACAATGACTTCATATAGGGAAAAGATATCTGAACTTTGTGATGAGTTAAATCGTTTTGAAATAGGAAATTTAAAGAACCCGTCTCAAGAGACCAAAGATGCGATATACAAAGTTAATGAGAGTATGGCATTAAATGTTTTTATGAAAGGGGTTAACGCAGAATATCAGCCAATTTTATTGGCTAATATGCCCTCAAGTTTAAATGAGGCGACCCAAAGATGTATTACAGCTGAGAGAAGTTTAGGTCTGGATACGAAGGATGTATACTTTGTAAATAGAACAAATAGATCAAATGAACAAAGTAAACCTTATAGAAAAAGTTATAGATACAATTATAACGATTACAATAACTCGTACAGAAACAATTACAATACACGATACAATATCGGTAATCGATGCAGTGATAATTATGGAAATCCAGGTGGACGAAAAAAATTCAGCAATGGTCACAGCAATAATCGCAATAACTATCAAGGAAACAACAATAAGAATGCAGAATATAAAAATATACACGGCAATGTGAAATACAATAATGGTAAAAACGACAGAATCAAGCATACGGAAGTCAGAAATTATAAGGCTTTTCCATGTACATGTCAACAGGGAAACTCAGACGGCCGGATGATGGAAGAATTCATCCAGGAGGCCCAAAATTAAGGATATTTAATGTAACTTTGATGACAAACGCTTTTATTTCGTTGAATTCTAAGGATAAGCGTTTAACGTTCTTAATAGATACCGGAGCTGATATATCCATATGCAAACACACATTTTCATACGTGAACAAAACAAATACTGCAAGATTAACTGGCATAACTAAAGAAGCTATTCAATGTATTGGGACTTCAGAACTCAAGTTAGAAATTGAAGGAGAGACATTGTGTCATGATTTTTACGTAGTCGCAGATGATTTGCCCATACATACTGATGGAATTATTGGTCGAGATATTTTAGCAAAATATTATTGCAAAATAGACTTTGAAACACACACCATTGCATTTAATATTAATAATAGAGAAATTGTAGTGCCAATGAATGCAAAGCCTGTTCAGAATAAGCATGTGTTAATACCTGCAAGATCGGAAACGATATTACCGCTTGATATGAAAGTAGATGAGGATAGCATAATACTCAATAAGGAAATATCTGAAGGAGTCTTTCTAGCGAATTGTTTAGTTCCTGCTTATGGTAAAGTACATGTTAAGGTGTTAAATACTACTGATAAAGATGTGAAGTTAAACGAACTGAATTGCCAATTCAACTCATTAAAAAATTATCATATATACTACTCTAAAGCTACAAAAGAAAAAAATGACAAAAGGCTTTCGACATTACTTGATGGGTTAGACATCGGCACAAATGATCCATACGCTATACAATCAATTCGTACAATTCTTCAAGAATTTCAAGATATTTTTCATTTGCCTGGGGAGCCGTTAAGTGTGAACAATTTTTACACTCAAAAAATACAAATAACAGATTCCTTACCAGTATACATAAAAAATTATAGACTTCCGCAGACGCAGTTGGAAGAAATAAATAAACAAGTGGATCAGTTACTACGAGAAGATGTAATCGAACCATCTGTTAGTCCATATAATTCACCACTTTTAGTAGTACCAAAAAAGTCAATGGATGATAAGAAAAAATGGCGATTAGTAGTGGATTTCCGTAAGCTGAATAACAAAATTGTGAATGATAAGTTTCCGTTAACTAGAATTGAAGATGTATTGGATCGACTAGGAAGAGCAAAGTATTTTTCCACATTGGATATGACGAGTTCTTTCCATCAGATTAATTTACACACGGATTCGCGCCCGGTGACGGCATTTTCAACAACGAATGGTCACTATCAATTTAAACGTTTGCCTTTTGGTTTGAAGATATCTTCAAACAGTTTTCAGAGAATGCTTACAATAGCTCTCAGTGGTCTGGACGCATCTGCATTTTTATATGTGGACGACATAATCGTTTTTGGCTCTGGACTGAGAGATCACAACGACAATTTGTGCAACGTTTTTAAAAGATTACGAAAATTTAACTTAAAGTTAAATGCTATGAAGTGCAGTTTTCTACAACCTGAAGTGGTTTACCTGGGACATCTCATAACCGATAAAGGTGTAAGAACTGATCCAGCCAAGGATAGTGCGATAAAAAACTATCCCGTACCTACAAACGCAGATGAAGTGAGGAGATATGTAGCATTTTGCAATTATTATCGTCGATTTATACCTAATTTTGCAGACAAAGCAAGGAGTTTGAATGCACTTCTGAAAAAGAACAGCAAATTTGAATGGAGACCTGAGTGCCAAAAAGCTTTTGAAACTTTAAAAAATTGTTTACTGAAACCACCAATATTACAATATCCAGATTTTTCAAAGCCTTTCGTGCTAACAACGGACGCATCTAATTATGCGTTGGGAGCAGTGTTATCCCAAGGAGAAATAGGAAACGACTTGCCTATTTCCTACGCCAGCGCTACACTCTCGACACACGATTTGAAGAAACCAGTTATCGAAAAAGAATTACTTGCTATACACTGGGGAATTAATTTCTTTAGACCATATTTATATGGAAGAAAGTTTATTGTTGTTACTGACCACAGACCATTAGTATCACTTTTTTCACATCGGAATCCATCCTCAAAGATGACAAGGATTCGCATGGATCTCAGTGATTACGATTTTGAGATCGCTTATAAAAAAGGGAAGATGAACACAAATGCTGACGCATTGTCCAGAATAAAACTCAACAGCGATTCTTTAAAGGCTTTAATTCCCACGACACCCGAACGTGACCATAAAATTCTTGCAATTACCAGGAGCAAACAAAAACTTTTAAGCAAGAAAAACTCAAACAATAAAATTATAGATGATGACAGCCCTCATCCAAAGCCTGATCAACTTTTGATTTGGGAATGTACATCACTCTCAGATATAAAAAATATAAGAAAACTTAAGTTTACAATACTCAAAGAAAAGAAGAAACCAGCAATTGAGATTGGAAAAGACATAATAACTGTGAGTTACAGCGATAATCCAATGAACATAGATTTGTCTTTGGAGAAACTGTTAACAAAAACCAATAAAAAAGGAATAAAAGAGCTAGCAATGAACAAAAATGATGATATATTCAAATCCATGGCCATGGAAGAGTTCAAAGCATTACTGAACAAATTACAGAAAGAACGAAACACAAATTTACAAATAATTATATACCGAGATCTTCAAAGGATTAACTGCAAAAATACACAATTAAAATTAATATCAGAGTATCATGATTCAACGCATGGAGGACATTTAGGGGTCAGAAAGACAACTTTAAAACTCAAACAGCGTTACATTTGGAAAAATATGTCGAAAATGATAAAAGGATATGTTTTAAACTGTCCACAGTGTAGAATCAATAAACAAACTACACACACAAAAGAAACAATGACATTAACAGATACACCAGGAACTAGTTTTGAGGTAGTATCAATAGATACAGTAGGTCCACTGAGAATATCAAATGGTTACAGATACATTCTAACAATACAATGTGATTTAACCAAATACATAGTAGCATGTCCTATGGAAACAAAAGATGCAAGGACTGTAGCAAAGACTCTTGTAGAGAGGTTTATTTTGATATATGGAAATTTTAAAATACTAAAGTCTGATAATGGTACAGAGTTCTCTAATCAGTTAATGTCTGAGGTATGTCGTTTATTGGAAATAAAACAAATATTTAGCACTCCTTATCACCATGAAACATTGGGTTCGGTAGAGAGAACTCATAGGGTTCTTAATGAATTTCTACTAAATTTTTCAAATAGTGAAGACTGGGACATTTGGATTCCATATTTTGCCTTTGCATACAATACCACACCACATGTTGATACTAACTATTCTCCTTATGAGTTAGTTTTTGGAAAACTGCCATATTTACCCAATGATGAAATTATAAAAGAATCGAAATTTTATAATATTGAAGAATATTCAAATGAAATTAAGCAAAGACTTAGGTTTTCTCTCTGTAAATCTAAGGAATATTTGGAAAAATCTAAAATTAAAAGAATTACTAAAAACGAAACTTCTAATCCACTAAAAGTAAATAAAGATGATTTAGTTTTATTAAGATTAATGAATAGGAAAAAAAATCAATCACCGTATTTAGGCCCATATAAAGTCATTAGTACTGATGGAGTCAATACTGTAATAGATATAAATGGTAAATTCAAGAAATACCACAATAATGTTTTAAAAAAATGGAGTTATAGTTAATTAATTTATATTGAAAAGAATAATGCAAAATAATTTTTACTAAAGCAAAAATTATTTTTTTTTTAGGGTAAGGGTGTAATGTTACGATAAATTAATGCATGTGAACTACCCTTGTATTGATCACCTGTAACTAGGCTAAGTAGATCAGCTGATTAACAGCTGTAGTTTTAAGGATTGTTATTGTTATTTTTAAGGATATATTAAGAAAACAAAATCTAGGATTAAGTACCGTTATGTTTTATATATAAGGACGATGAAATTGAAAATAAAGTTCAGAAGTTAGAAAGAGCCTAAACCGGCTTTAAAAACTTTAGTAAAATTAAAAAAATCAAAAAGCTCTTTTTATTGAGCTGGAAATCGCTGGCAACTAGTTGTGCCTTCGAAAAATTTAAAAAAACATCTTTTTCTGCCAAGTGGCGTTTGTAAGCGCCGGCAAACAAATTGAGGCAGGGCCCAATTTTCCACACACACATACATGTCTACACAAAAACATCAACAGGTTGCAGGCCAACATTACATTAATGAGAACTTTAAAATGTCCATAACTCCTTAAATATTGAGTTTTTTAAGTGTGAATTAATGAGAACTTTAAAATGGCCATAACTCCTTAAATATTGAGTTTACAGCGTTTTTAGCTATTATTTGTGATCACTTTTTTAAGTGTGAATTAATGAGAACTTTAAAATGGCCATAACTCCTTAAATATTGAGTTTACAGCGTTTTTAGCTATTATTTGTGATCACTTTTTTAAGTGTGAATTAATGAGAATTTTAAAATGGCCATAACTCCTTAAATATTGAGTTTACAGCGTTTTTAGCTATTATTTGTGATCACTTTTTTAAGTGTGAATTAATGAGAATTTTAAAATGGCCATAACTCCTTAAATATTGAGTTTACAGCGTTTTTAGCTATTATTTGTGATCACTTTTTTAAGTGTGAATTAATGAGAACTTTAAAATGGCCATAACTCCTTAAATATTGAGTTTTTTAAGTGTGAATTAATGAGAATTTTAAAATGGCCATAACTCCTTAAATATTGAGTTTACAGCGTTTTTAGCTATTATTTGTGATCACTTTTTTAAGTGTGAATTAATGAGAACTTTAAAATGGCCATAACTCCTTAAATATTGAGTTTACAGCGTTTTTAGCTATTATTTGTGATCACTTTTTTAAGTGTGAATTAATGAGAATTTTAAAATGGCCATAACTCCTTAAATATTGAGTTTACAGCGTTTTTAGCTATTATTTGTGATCACTTTTTTAAGTGTGAATTAATGAGAACTTTAAAATGGCCATAACTCCTTAAATATTGAGTTTACAGCGTTTTTAGCTATTATTTGTGATCACTTTTTTAAGTGTGAATTAATGAGAATTTTAAAATGGCCATAACTC